CACCTCCATGCTCACTGCGGCATTATTTACAATAGCCAAGGTATGGAAACAACCTGGGTATCCTTCGATGGATGAATGGATAAAGAAAATGTGATGCACGCCTAGACACACAGACGCACGCGATGGACTGTTATGCTAAGTAGAAGAAGTCAGAGAAAGAAAATACCACATTGTCTCACTTACATGTAGAACGTGAAAAAAAGAAAAGGCTCATGGATACAGAAAACAGTGGTAGTTGCTAGAGGCGGGGAGCAGGGGGGTAAAGGGATGAAGGAAGTCGAAGTACAAACTTCCGGTTACAAAATAAGTTAGTTGTGGTGATGTAATGTGCAGCATGGAGACTGTAGTTAATCGTACTATATTACTGTATTTCATATTTGAAAGTTCCTAAGAGAATAAATCTTAAAAGTTCTCACAAGAAAAATTATCGTGTAACTATGTGTGGTGAGAAACGTAACTAGACTTTCTGTGATAATCATTCTGCAGTATATACAAACTACAAGTCATTGGGTTGTACACCTGAAACTTACAATGTTGTATGTCGGTTATGCCTAAAAAAAAAAAATCTCTCCAATAGCTTTGTGTGTCACACAGAGTATGAACGAGCCAGAGCCCTTGCAGTGGCCTCTACGCCCTCCTTTGATTTTACCTCCTTGCCTCTCTGCCTTGTCTCAGGCCCCTTCCTCTGTGGCTGCTGTGCTCTGCCACCTGCTCATCTTGCTCTTCCTCCAGCATCCCACCTCAGGGCCTTTGAACTTGCTGTTCCCTACGCCTGGGGGAATCTTTCCATATTCATCGTTTACAGCGTGCCAAATCCCCACAACGCTTAAGGACATAAAATGTTTTTTAAAGGAATGGATCAAACATCTCTTCCTGTCCATCTCTCAAGAGAGATTTATTTACTGTTGCTCCAAAAATTAAAATTAAAATTAAAAAAGGGAGCTAAAAAGGAATTTGAGCTATTTGCACTGCAATGAGCAGTGTTTCTCGGGCTCTCTGTAATGAAGGACCAGGTTTTTAAATTTTTTATTTCTACTTGTTGCTGACCAATCTCTAGCCCTGTTGTGCCTACCGAGGATGCAGCTCGCACTTCCTGTGACCCGCCACGCTAGTTCGACGTCACCCCAACTGGCTTACATTCTGTTTAAAAGAGTTGACTGACCACATGCTTGGTTGCTGCAGCAGCATTGAATTGCGCTAACCCTCACTCTACAGTTCCGAACTTACTGTGTCAGATAGGTAACAGTTTGCAGCCCGAAGACCACGCTTTATGATCAGTCAATAGACCAGAAGAGACCTCTGTTTGGTCAAGGCAGCTAAGCCATAGCTGAGGAGCCCTCTCTGGACACAGCATGAAACAATGATTGCTGCTGAAGGATCACATCAGAAGACAGTTTGGGATGCGTTACAAGCTTTTCTTCAAATAAGAGTTTCTCTTCCTAAGAGTGAAAAGACATTTGAAGGGATTTATTTTACATTTGTTTTTTTTTTTTCTTTTTATGTACAATTTATCCACATATGTAGTCAAAGGCACTTAGTTGTTCAGTTTTTAAATTGAAAAGGAAAATTGTACAGCTGAAAGCCAAATGCGCACGTTCTAAAACACAAAGTCAGTATAGAAGATAGAATTAGAGAGTAGGAAGTTATATTAGGTAGACCATCCACATTATTAGATATTCATCTGATATTTTAACTGGGTGATGATGCTATGTGAGGATATTATTTCCTAGGCAACATTTCTGAGAACTTACAAGTTGAGCTGAATCAATTAAAAACATTGATTCCAAAATTACAACTTTAACTATGTAAATAATGATTATTAATGGGTCATTTCTCTAGATATGCTGTCCATTAAAGAGTTTCAGCATCTACGTATTAAATAGAAGTGGACGTTTTGTCATTAAACAAAATACAGTAAATAAGTACATTTAAAATTTTTCTTTTAATTTCACCATAAACCTCCAGTACCAAATACATTGCATGATGTTTTGTAATTATCATTTTATGGTCTAAAGGTGTGAGGGGAAAGTGTCTATAGATTACTTTAAAAATATAATGTGCTTTTCACGACAGCCTCCAACTCCATCCCCTCAAAATGGTAAGGATTTTCAAAGGCACCAAAGCTTTGCTGGTTTTCTGACAAAAATCTATCCCAAACTGACATCCTTTGGGAATACAATTTAAATTTTTACATCAGCTCTTAACTTTAGTAGATATACTTTTGGGTCATTACATAAAGATATTGGATAATTTGAAAACTTACTTTTTATGTTTCACTCAGTATGGAGATTTATTCTCAGAGTGGGGCTTTTCTGATGCAAAATTGGAATGCTTGTGTAGTCACAGCAGCTGTCCCCACACCATGTGGTATCTTCCATTACTTTGCTATAGAGATGAATTTTTGGCCCGGTGTCTCAGTAATATTGGACACACATGGTTTTAAGTGGCTAAGCAGTATGCTTATGCATTCATTTGACTTTCACAGCTACAGTTGGCTCCAGATTAAAACGAGGAGAATACATTCACACCATGGCCACCCTCATGGCTCCTGTAGGCGCCGGGTCACAGTAGGTTCTGTTGCTTCTAAAGACACGACTAACTATTGCTGAGGAATCACACATTCACCAAAGTGCCTTACAGCTGGAGGAGAGAGAATAATGAACTACTAAAAGCAGTCAATCGAAGATTTCAGATTATGGTCTTAGTTATTATCAATCTAGTTTGTTTAATATTAATAAAAACTATACCATGAAATAACTATGAAGCTAAAAGGAAAGACTGTCGTGGCAATCCATAATTTTTCAGCATATCAGTCCAAATATTTGATTAAAAATTTTTCCTTTTCAGAAAAAAAGTAGCACTGTACATTTAGACTCATTAACAAGGAATTAAAATCAGATTGGTTTTCAATGCCCATTGTGCATATATGCAACACATTAGGAAAGCCAATCTATTAAAAATAGGAAATATTTTAAAGAAACCATTTACTCTGTGAAATAATGGCTTTATATTATTCACATTTTAGACAATTTTGTTTACTCCAAAAATGTGTTATAATTAATGCAGAAATAAGATGATTTTAGTTTGAATACTATGTTCTCTGTGCAATGTCAACTTAATGCTCTTTTTGGTATGACTTTGTACTGTAAACTTATTTTTAAATTCTTCTTAACTTTTTAGCAATTCTGAAACCAACTGGTACGATTAAGTTTCAGCTTTTTAGCAATAAAAATATCCTTTCCTTGAAAACCCAATTATGTCTCTCTGATATCTGGATAATACTTTTTCCACTAAACAAAGTAAAAACAAGAAAAAAGAAAAAACCTTCAGTGTCAATTTTTTAATTACTTGATACGGAGAATTAGATTTCTGATATTCATTAAATATCAAAGAAATTTCAACCGTTCCCAATGTAGCCTCCCTTTTTATAGAAGTGAATTTATGCATGGATCGTTCGGGTTATACTGATGAATATGTTTGAGGCTTTCAGCTTTTAGTGGATACAAAATAGAATGATTGATAAAATCCTCCCTACTATTGGCTATTATTTACTGACTCTTAAGTGGCAGGTTGTATTTATGCCAATTTATCTGCTTCAGGGAACATTCTTGATAGCAGAACAAAGTGAATAAAAGTAGTTTGCTTTGCAAATGAATGCAAATGGGAGCGCCTTGAACAGGGCCGTGCACTTTGATTATGAGTGAAGCTGCCATTTGGACATGGTGAAAAGAGCACGCTTGAACCATTGATTGGGGGAGACAGTAAAAAGTCAGGACGGGCCCCGTTAAGCTTGCAGTGAGGCAGGCGGATGTCAGTGCGGTTAGAGCACAGTGGGAGAATGACAGGGAGGATTAGTGTCAGGGAGCAGCTTTGCTGTAGCTGTGGAGATAGTCCCTGGGGTCACTCACCTCTGACTGTTGTTCTGTGCTGACGGTTCTGTAATGCAAACGGCCTGATGTATGCCCGTTCATTATCGGAAATGGTGATTAGAAAAGGTATTTGTCTCAAAGGTTTCCTTCTTTCTATTTCTCTTTCTCTTTAATTAAAGGAAAATAAGGTGGGCTTCCATCTCTCTGCTGACTTCTAGAGTACTGTTTAATACCAGAGTGGTTACTGCCTCTGGTAGGAAATGTTTAGTGCTAAAATGTAACGTAAAATGATTGGAACTTGGTGGTTTGTTATTTGGTAATTGTTTCTTTTGCTTCGCTCAGCTTTGGGTTTGACCAGGTGGTAGGGGTGAATAAAATACAGAGAATGTGCTTGCTCTTAGAATGTTTGCTTTTGCAAAAAAAAAAAGATTTTCTAATATTTCAGGTATTTCATTATTCAATTTAATAATCTGATCAACTTTTGTTTACCTTCTCAAAATTGAAATGTTGCTTTGCATGGATTTTATGGTTTAAGTCTCGGTCACATGAGTTTCTAATTTTCTGTTCCCAAGTTTTATAAAATGCTAAGATTTGATAAATTAAACTTCTTAGAAATACATGACTTTTAGAATTAAGTATTGTTACATAGAATGAACAAAAAAATATGTATTTGTCTCATTTCTGATTCTAAATCAGTACATTTACTTGTTCACATTTTCATTTGTGCTTATAAAGATTGGAAAAAACCTGATAATTTTTCTTAAAACTTCAAGGCCTGTTATAGTGACTGTATATGAGACACTTGTGAGCAGCCGTGACACACGATGCGTTTCATAGGCTTTGAGGGTGGTTTCTCACTTTAATGCAAAATTGACTTCTCTTTTTAATGTCTTCAGACACCTGGCTTCACAATATTTCTGCTTATTTGGTATATGTAGGAAAATTTAAAAGGCTGCTGGAGCTTTGCATTCTAATGTTAAATATGGAACTCAAACCTCTAGCTAAACTATTAGATTCACTGTAATAGTATTGTTTTTGCAGAAAGCATAGTGCCAGTAGTTTGTTTCGCAGGCTTATTAAGTGTATTAGCAAACATTCTCTGAATCATTTTTTTTCTTTAATGTTTTGCAGGCACCTGAATGGACAGAAGAGGACCTTAGCCAGCTGACAAGAAGTATGGTTAAGTTCCCAGGAGGGACCCCAGGTCGATGGGAAAAGATTGCCCACGAATTGGGTCGATCGGTGACAGATGTGAGTTCACTGAGATTTGCATTGTATGGAGAGTGACAAACCAGAACAAGCCAACTATGTAGAAGGCAGACAGAGATGCCTCCGACATTATCTTTGGAGAAAGGCTACAATCCTTTTAGGACCTGGAAGTGAACCATTAACGAAATAAGCAAGAAGCAGATGTCGGTCAGTCCCCTGGTCCCCAATTAACAGCTGTTTGAGGAATTCTAGTGTTTAGAGACTTAAGCTACTATAACCTAATCAGAGAAAAACGCTAGTTTTTGTGTTGAGAGTGACCCCTTTAGCTGTGGGAAAAAGTAGTTCTCAGACCGATCAGAATTAGAGAAGTTATATCTCAGCTGAATCTTTTTAACATTGAATTACAGAGACTGCTATAGGTATTTAGACAGCTGGTTTGCATTAATTAAATGAGCAATATTCCTAAAATGTTTGTTTTTATTTCAAGGATGATACCTACCATCTATTTTGACAAGTTGTTTAACCCCTCCAAAAAAAAATACATGCACACACACCCAGTACAAGTGGCCATATCTAACACTGAAAAAGTTTACCTGGAAAGTTTTAGATTTAACACTTCGGGTTCTTTTATAAAAGCACCTATCACAACACCTGATGTGTACTGAATACTCAGTAAATGTTTACTTGAAATTGAAAGAAATCTTTATTTTTATTAATAGGAAACTTATTTTCATAAATGATGATAAATATTCTATACTAAATAAGTTCTTTACTGAATTTATTTTAAATACTATAGATCTAAAATATTTAAAAGGTTACTGAAAGCAAAGATTCAGATGTTCTCCTCAATTCTGTTAGTATATCTTTAGGTCTTTCTTGATAATGAACAATTTTAAAACCCAGAAAAATTATAAGCACAGCTTTCCCCCTCTCCCGACAAAAAAGCTTGTTGTATAAAATGCAATGTTATTTTTCATAGTAAACTTCACTTTTTAATTTAGAAACAAACTTACAAAATATGTTATGGTCAATTTTTCTGTTTTTGGATAGGAGCTGCTTTGAGGATTTTAAATTATATATATGAATGTATTTAATACCATATAGATCTTTTTAAATCATACTTAAGAGACTACTATTGGAATTGCAATAAGATATGTTGCATTATTTTGGCTTCAGAGTTAAAGTCTGATCATATAGAAAAATAGCTCTTGTAACTTTTTCTTTTGCTGTGTTTCATGAGATCTTAGGTAATTGGAAAAGAGCCATACAGATATGTTTTAAGTACTGTGGTCCTCTAATTGTACAACTAAGTACCGTTAATATAATGACTAACAAAAAACTATTTTTTAGAATGTTATAAAGCAAACACTGGTTTAATAGAGCTTCAAAAATTTTTAATTCATTTGCCTAATTAGGGACTAATTTAGTGTCTCCTGAGAACACTGCCTTTAACTTCTTAAATAATATTTCTATGAGGCTTTATAGTTAATAATGCCAAAGGCAGATAGGAAATTGAATAAAGCAATATTTAAAATGAATTTGTTTTCATTATAATCTGGTGAAATTTTTAATCTGTATTTAAGAGGAGATGAAAGTTTAAATGCTAAATGACTAACCAACGGACCCGAGATGGCTAGTGAGCATCACAGACCTAGAAAATCTATACATAATTTGCAAGAAGAGTAGTCTTGGGGCCGTCTCTGTAGGCAGAGACATCTCCAGACTTTTGCAAATTCGTTCCATATGTTTCGATCTTTCTTCTAGAAAACTGCCATAGTTTTCTCTTTGCCAAAACCTAAGGGAGACTGATTCCATGTCTGTAATAGATATTTTTCCTCTTATTATGGAAGTAGCAAACATGACTTTTGACATTTTTTTCCTGCAAGTATGAGTTCTATTTTCATAATACCAACAGTACCTTGGAAATCAGTATAAACTTTTTTGGCAACAAAATGCCTTTGTAACTTTTATATCAGTATACCCACACTGTATTTTCATTCTGTGAGCATCATCTCCATAGCTGGCCTATCCATTTCATTTTAGTAACTACACACACACACGCACCTCTACCTGTAAATTACTCTCTAAAAAACAGGTATCTGAAGACTCAAATAATTCATTTTAGTGAACACACTGTAAATTACATTGAAGCTGCTGAAATGGGTTCGGCTGATAAAGTTCCTCTACTTAGAATGTTAAGTAAAAGGTAACCACACTTGAGAAAATCACTCATGCCTCTTTTTGGCTTATGGTGTTAATTTGATTTGTTCTCATTAAGTATTCGATTATGAAAAAGCGAGCAAGTTCCGTCCGCCGTCATGGGAAGCTCTGCACACTGACCGCTCACCTGTACCAACGCCCCCCTCTCTGCAACATCTGTTCTTTGACCTGTTTTCCTTGCTAAATTTGTAGCTTCGGGCTCAGTTCTCTCTCAAACAATTGACCTTTTGAGGGGAGGGGTGACAGTGTGGCCTTGGTGGGATCTTTCTATTCTTGATTTAGGTTGACAGATACAGGGAAAAACCCATTTTATTTCTCAATTAAGAAATTTTCAGTGTATTGTCATAATTAACGAGTTAAATTGCTAAATTCTACTCTGGATAAATACAAGCAATGTTATTTAGCTTTGTAAAAAACTAGTGCAAAGTATATTTTAACTCGGAGATACCTAAACTGTATAAAGCCTGCTTTATTATAGATTAAATATTTTAAATGTTAATATATGCCTTTCAGCAAATAATTTTGATAAGCACGAAGGACACCCAAACTGTAAAAAACAACAGAGGAAACAAAAACTGTCTGGCATGTAAAACTAACGTTAATGTGATTATTAGCTGCAGGTTTTCTAAATTAAGGTCAAGGAGCCTCAGATTTCTTGCTTGTGAAGTAGTATCATTCTGTAGCCTGAAAGGATGTAAACTGATTCTGCTTCTCTCCGTGGTCACTAATCTCTTATGCTCTGGTTGTGCTAACAGACTGATTGGAAAAGACCCAGATAGGCAGCAAAACAAAAGACAGGTGGTAGATTTAAACAGGCTTTACCTTAGTGCCACAGCGGGAGCTAAGAGGCATGGTTGAGTGTCCCCACATGAGAGTGGAAAGGAGGAGGGAAAATAAAATTCCCAATTTTATTTTCTATAGCTACCAAAAGGAGATCTAGGAGATGCCTACCGGGAAATTTATGTGTTGTTATGGCAGTGATTTCAAAAAATATATAATTTTCAATAGCAAATAAACTTCATGGTTTATCAGTGAACTAAATATACGGTAATCGTTTTGGCAAATATATAATTGCTTTTACTTTTAGAGTCAAACTAGTCCTACACAATTTATGAAGATGTAGAGGACCGTCCTTTCATCCTCACTACCCTCTTAACCAGGCTCCCTGCCACAGCAGATCTCCTGATCCCAGCCTGGTCTCCCTCCCTCCTCTATACTCACCTCCTCAACCTTGGGACCTCTAAAGATATTTAATTTTAGAAAGGAATGGGTCCTTTGTTCCATTCTTCTTGCTAGATGAAACAGCTAATCTCATAACCAGTTTTCAATTTGATATTAATAAAAAAATAATGGTTTAATGTGTTACAAATACACACACATATTTTAATAGGAGCCTTCAGGTTCCTACCCCAAGTATATGAATTATTGGTGTAAGAATTTCAGGCAACTTGATTGCCCGTTTGAAGGAAAAAGAAGGCAGAGCGGTATTTTGAGGTACGAGGACCTTTTGGTGTCAAGAGAAACTACATAAATAATTGCTTAATCTGTCCATTGGTCTGGGTAGAGTTTTGCTATATATGATTTCTGAGCCAGAGGTTTTTAGATTTGCATTCCATGTCACCATTTCTGTCTCAGCACTGAGCAAAATTACACATTGGACAGGATTAAAAACAATATATTCACTACATGAGAATAACATTGCAAAAGTCAGTTAAGAGATCAAACCAACATTTTTATGTTTAACTGCTCTGAGCGATAATATTGATTATTTCATCATTCATTTTCAAAGCATTTTACATTTTTCAAAACTTGAAATATACATTCTTTTACTTGATCTTCACAACAGCATCGTGAGGTAGATTAGGCAACCATTATTTATTCTCATTTCACAGTTAACTGCTGTTAAGATATTTGTTCAAGGTGACAACTATTAGTGAAATGGGACAACACCAGATATTTTGATTCCTCTGATATGTTCTCATTACTTTTCTATGCTATTTTATTGCTGTGTGTATGAAAAACATTTTGAATGTGTCTAGAGACTTATCATTAGAATTGTTTCGTTAAAACTATGTTCATAGCAAAAAAGAAACTTTAGAAAAAAATTTTTTATTTGAGTGTTATTTTTCTAATCAGCCACAAGAAAAAATGACTTCTATAAACATTTTGTTGTATATCATTCTAGAATTCAGCCTTCCTATGTAGGCATATGACTATACATAATTTTAAGTATTAGTCTATATCCTGCCCTTTTCACTTTTCTAAGAAACATGACTAAGACCCACATCATTTTTTCAAACACGTAATACTCCATGTTGTCTTGATATGATTAAGGAGTGTCCTACTGACTGTCATTTAAATTACTTTTTTTCCTGTTTTACTGGGTTGTCTAGGTTTTTTTGGTAGGTGTTATTCATTTTTCCACTTATATCTATTTTCTTACCTTGTATTCCTAGAAGTAAAGCTGCGCAATTCAAGAATATAGATGTCTTTAGAACCTTTGATGTCTCTAAAATTGGCCCCCAGAGAGGTTATAACAATATACTATAATGTCACTGGTAGTATGAGAGAGGCCGCTTTCTCATAGTCTCATAAACACTGTCATTGCCTCAAATAAGTGAAAAGTACTGTACCACTGATTTTTGTAACTTGTCTTCTTATTGGTCTTATTTCAAATAGAATTTGTGTTAATTCTAGGATAGACAATCCTATCTTCTGCAAATACTTTGCCATTTTCTTTATATCTTATTTTGTTATCTTATTTGATTGCATTAGCTAGCAATTCCAGAGACATGTTATATTACAGTAATAGTAATGAGTGC